GTTGGACTATACAAAATAGTTATATGGAATGCTCAAGCATAATCAGCAGTATTACAAAAAATTTTGACATTATAGCAATCAACTTCATCATCTTGTATCTAATTATTTTAATTGGTTTACCAAAATTATTTTTAAATGTATACCCAGCTAAATTGTTAAATAATTTCATAAAACTATTCTTTCCATGTAAGGCCAGAATTAAATTTAACAATTCCAGAAACCCTTGGAAAATGAGATCTTTTAAGTTCCTTTATTAAAAAACTCCCATCCTTAAAGAATTAAAAATGCAGATATTCGAGGTTGACTCACGCGTTCTATTGAAACCGTACAAAGCAAAGCTCCTTTTCTTCAACGAGTTAAATTAATGCATTCCCGGATTAGTAGCGACTGCAACTCGTAAAGTACTCCAACTGCGGATAACATTAAATTTTATGGCAATCGTTAAAGAAATCACCCGCTCGTGCTTCTTTGCGCCTGGATTTCCAAAGTTTTCTCTCATTCTCTCACCTGTATTTTTTTGCATTTATATTTCGTCGCGGATGATTAATATCACACGTTGAATGGAGCCGCAAAAATCGCCGTCTGCGCTTAAACTAGGGGAAAAAAACGGTTTTATCCAACGCAGCTGTCGATTCACATTTACGAACTGGATTATACGCTGAATGTGTAACGCACAGCCAGTCGTTTTAGTGGCACTAAAATCTCGGAGCCGGCTTACACACATTGCATTCGAGCAGCAAGGTGCAATCTGCGCTCTTGTAGGGATCGCGAAATGCCCGGTTAGTTTCCGCGAAGCGTTAGAGCACAATTAAAAACGAAGGCCCGTTATTCTCAATTGAGGCAGTAAGTGCTCGCACCGCAGGGAACATAAATCATGCGCGGATTCTTTCACACGCCGCGTTTCGCAATCTTTTTATTCACACGTAGCATAGCTTAATATAAATTTCAAATAATCGTCAAAATATATATCAAAAAGTATATCCTTTAAAATAAAGTAGCTCTTTGTTTTAACGCGGTATCGAATACAAATTTTATTCTTATATATTTTAAGGTAATAGAAAATCTATAACTATTATCAAATAAATGAACACTTTATTAAATTATATGGTCATGAATAAATAATTAGATATTTATAATAATTAGATATTTATAGTAATTAATAATTAATATGTAAAAATAAATCAACGAAAAATTCCAAAGAGAAAAAAATATGAATGTAGAATATCACGATTGCTGCAAAAGACATTTAATTCTCCGCTCCAGACTGCACTGACCTGATTGAACAGTAATAAATTGATAGAACTATCTAAACCTTTTGAAATGTGCATGCTCCATATTTATTTGATTTCGGCTATCAATATCTGTTATATGTCAATCAATGGATTAAATTTACAGAATTGTAATCGTATACTCATAAAGGGACATAAATAAATTTTATTTGTGTTGTCAGTGATATCAATCTAGATTGGGTGGTTTTACTAATAATTTGTATAGTATATAAAAGATGTTTAAATTGCAACAAATAAAGATACATTAAATTAATTTTAGCAAACTGTATACATTCAATCAATAAACGAATTGACATTTTCAGCTTTTCAATCATTAGTAGTGTATTAACAATGGTAACAATAATAAACATCAATCAAATGCAGTGCATATTGATTTAATTAAATACTATGTTGTTGATGTTCATTTGATTCACGACAAATTGCGGCGTTCCAAGAATGAACGAAGACGAATAATCTATGATATTTTAAAATGAATCGACATTCTTTGAGCGCCGATCCGTTAACTCTTTCATTTGATTGGAATGCGATGTATGAAATCTGAAAGAGACAAAGGCAGTCATTGTGTCGCAGACATTTAGTCCTCTCTCGTTAACCCCGAGAACTCCCACATAATCGAATCAATAACGGATGGTTAATTTTCTTTGTCGACCGGAACAAATCAGATTAGTCATGAAATTCCGACTCTAAAGATGCATAGCGATAAAAAATTATTTATCACAATCGTACTTTTTGGCAATGTCGTATAAATAAAATATGCAATTTAATGTACATATAAAATAATTATTTTCTGTAGATATTTCAAAGATATATTATTTTCGGTATATAAACACATCATAAGTTTAATATAAAATCTAATTCTAGATATAGTCAAACAGGAAAATAGGAAATAATTAGAGAATATGTAAATTAACAAGAAATGGAGCACATAATGGATCTGATTGTTTGGTTGGCCTAGATTAATTCAAAAGGTCTTTTGTCGTGCAGTCTACTAGAAATTCTGTCTTACTTACCCTCCGTCTTTTTTCCAAGACTTCAGCTCGCGATGCTGTCATCATCTCTTGACAATGTATTACCGTTTCGCATCGCCTTTGAACTTTTATGTTTCATCCTTTCTCAACTGCTGTAAAGATTATTCTGAAATTGCACGGAGTAAGGAGGAATAGGTTTTCAATTTCCGCGATCTCGCAAAGGTGTGTATGTGACAGTGGACAATCTGCTTTTATGTCTAAAAGAGAACAAAGGAGGAGCTATCCGCGGCTGTGTAAAATTGTACAACCGTACAATCTCTGTACGCAACCTCGTAGTATTGGATATACGATCTTTCGACAGCTTCGAAGAAAATCAGGGATTGACCTCAGTGGACTTCCGGATCGTAAGAAAGCGCTGTTACACGCTCACCAAGAAACATATCGGTCGTTCACGGATCCGAAAGATTCCTCTCGCAAATGTCTTTTTCAGGATTACGTGAGAGATTGAAGAGCTATGGTTGTTATACCGTTTTTAATAGAATTTTACAAATTTTCGGTTAAAGAAATTTTTGAAAATATCACAAATTTTATAATTAATGTTAACTCATACGTGTTGTCGCAATTAAAAAAAATAATAAAGAGTAATAAGAAAATTTTAATTGTAAAAAAAAATTAAATTAATATTGGGTTAGGAAAACGTCCCTTTACAAGTCGGTAAACAGACTTTTTTAACAATCCATGTATTCTATTTTTAAAAAATTAGCAATTGCACCACTTAATAAAGCAACATGTCAATTTTAAGAATCTGTATTTTTAATTGCGATACGATGATTTTTAACAGAGTTACGAACAATAAAGTCAGAATATTCCTTATTTACTTAATCCGCGAGTAAATCAGAAACAAAAAATTGTAGGAACATTTTTAAAAAATTTTATAAGGAAAGTTTTAAGCTTTCACGGTAGATAGTCGAAAATTTACTCAAATTTTTTTTGGAGCTACAGACTTATAAAATGAAAAGAAAATTTTTCATTTTTTTCAGTTGGTAGTTTTCTATATATAACAATTACAAAACTTACATAAATTAAAAAAATGTAGTAATCATTTGGAAGTAGATTTAAAATTAAATTTTTATTATTTTTAACAAAGATATTGATGAGGAAAGGCCTTTTTATAACTTGTAAAAAAGACCTTTTTTCCTAATGCAATATCATATCTTTATCAATTATTTTATGCAATAATACAGTGTGTCCCCTTTTTGTCAACTGCTTTTGTGTGTGATATAGCGGACTAAACTAAATCGAAAAGTCCTGTACCACATTGACAAAAGACAAAAATTGTTTATTTTCTTCTCATAAAGTTCTGAGAATTTTTTTAGATACTGTATTTTCTCATGTTGGTATAAATAAGAAAATGCAGTACTAAAAAGCTGATTAAAAATTCTGAAAAAATTATTAGAGTTTTATAAGAAGAAAATTAATGATTTGTGTCTCTTGCAGTTTTTCTATAAAGTTAATAGTATTTGAGTAAAAAAATATTCAAGACCATTATTCGGCAATTTTTAGTAATTAATAGTCCTGTTAACTATTGCGAAAATTGCAAAATGTGATAGAGGTCCTTTCGACTCAGTTTAGTCCGCTTTATCTCCACAAAAGCGGTTGGCAGAAACTTACAGGACACTCTGTATTTTATATTCTCCATATAGTCTAAACCTATTCCTTATATTTGAATAATTGCTATTTCGTATCTCTCTTTTAAAGAATATCAAAATTTCAAAGTTATACTAGAGCTGTAGAACAATACGTAAAGTGCAATAAAGAAATTGTCAGAATAAAGTATGGTGGGTACCCTCTCCCTACAACTTTACAACTGTATCGTTCGTTGCGGCAAAACCACCTGCTCACCATTACAGCATAATTGTACCTTTTGTGTTTCAAGTATCCGTAAAATTTCTGAGTGCTTCGTAAGCTCAAGCGAAACCTTTACGCAGTTACGAAGTGTGCGAAATAAAAGGTCAAAAGGTTGTGCGACTGCAATTTTATCGCACACCTCTTTATTCTTCCGCGCTTGTTTAGCTTCTGAATTTTTAATAAGAAATGAAATTTTCTATAACGATAATTAAATATTATTTGTCTCATGTTATTAAAAAATTGTTTTAACTGTAGAATAAAGAGGAAAAGAGCGCGCGTCTTTATTACCAAATAAAATCTTACATTTTTTTAAATTGTTGTGACATAGAAATATAACCAAATTTGAGATACTCAAATTTTGTATAATGATTTTGGCTATACACTCAAATTTAAAAGCACTTCGATATATAACATTTTTCGTTTGGAGCGAATAGAAGTGCAGACATAAAATGATGGGCAAAGTGAATATACAATTTATTCCAACTTACATGACATACTCGTGTTTTTCGTGCTTTCAACACGAATCTCGCGTTTTCACGAGAATCCCATTATAGCTGCACAATTTAAACCGAAGCTTATGTGAAGATCTAACCGAAATTGTCTTTTGAAGGACGCAATATAAATTGTTATCCATGCTTCTTACATTGCTAACATTGCAACTTCTTGCCTTAAAACTTAAAAGCTAATCGTTATGTTAGAATACTTAAATGCTAATGTAAACATTGAAATGCAAATATGAAAATACAAATCGTTATTACGCAATCGAAAACTAGAAAAAATATTTTAATTAAAAATAAGAGAATAATTTAATGTTTCGTTTGACGATATGTTTCAGAAATAACCATCAATCTGCCTCCCTTGCGAATTCCGCATTTAAGGCATCACCGAGTTACGGATTGGGATCCATATTTCGAAAATGCAAATGGCCAGGGTATTAATGGCTCGCAAAATGTGGCGTTGCACTTAGGCGCAACAGCGTATCTCGATTGTCGCGTCGCTATGCTTTCTGGAAAGAAGGTGCAAATATATCAATTATCAACAACCAAGTCGATGCTAATTATAAATAATTGGAATAATAATATTTAAATATATCTGTATAGGAAAGTACAATTTTGTTAAAGTATAATAAAAAGAATAATATTTAAAAAAAATAATGAATCTTATATATTTTGATTTGCTGAATGCGATGGTCTTATTAGTTTTCATTAAAAATGTAAAGAACATCGTCATTCTTCAGGTTAAAGTCATTTTCACTGAAAAATAGAACTTTAATTTGAAAAATAACGGTGTTTTCCATGTTTTCAATGAGAAGTTCAATCTAAAAGTTGACAATGTTCCATACATTTTGAATGAAAACTAATATCATCGTGTTTAGTAGGTCAAACTCTATAAGATTCACTACGTTTTTTACGTTTCTATTGGTGACAAAATTTTGAAGCATCAAAGTAATTATGTTAGAAATTCAAGCATAAGAAGCAATGCTGTAAAAACTTTTCAGTTTGAATGTTCTACATAATTATTTTGATAATCCAACAAAAATTATTTTTAGATTTGTTATCTAGATAATTTTTAGATATTTTAACAAAACCGTTCTTTCTCTGTGTAATTAAAATTTTTTTATTGTTCTAATGCAGAAATAGTCTAGAATAATCAGTCAAAATAACATTTTACAGAATAACAAAATAATTATTTTACTATTTTCATGTATTATTTATCTTTACTATTTAGGTTTTACTATCTTCAATCAGCTTAATTGATCGATTAAGTATCAACTATGACTAATTCTGCCTAACGACAAATGCTACTGGTCAATTTTAATGGAATAATTGATTAACCAAGCTGACTAGAAATGATGAAACTAGCCTTTAAACATCTTGTCTGACAATACGCGTAGCGTTACTACTTGCAGCATCTCGCATTATACGATCTAATCTTGACACAATGGATAAACATTTTCACGGATTCCAGGTAATGTGGTTACGACAGAACACCGATTGGGCATCCCTCTTAACTCTCGGGAACACTACCCATATATCGGACTCAAGATACAGCGTGAGCTTTCAGTATCCAAACAATTGGAGATTGGCCATCTCCGGTGTGCGAAGAGAAGATCATGGAGTGTACGTTTGCCAAGTGAATACGCATCCACCGAGAATGCTGGTCACGAACGTCACCATTCTTGGTAATGTCATGTTTTTACAAGAGAATAAAAGAAATCGCGGGTAAACTGTAGATATATAGAAATAGTTTACCTGATACGAACATGTTGCGGTAATAAGAAACGCGCAGTAACAGCATAGATATTGCTTTTAAATTGAACATGAGAGGAGAGATAACGATATATTTTACAAATATCGTAAAATCTTTTATTGATATATTTCCTTTATATTTATTGAATTGCAACAAAAGTTTGTAGCGCTACTTCATTTGTATCATATCTTTAAAAAAATTTTTACAATTATACAATTACATATTATTTATAACTATATTATTTTTATAATTATTTTATATTCGGTAGACCAAAAAGTTTAAGCTTTAAATTGCAGTATAATGATTTTTAAAAGTTATGAGTAATCCAAATCAAAATGCTCCTTTTATTTAATACAAAGTAACAAAAAGTCTTAGAAATAATTGAAAAAATAATTTCGTAGAAAAACTTTAAGCTTTTACAGCAAAAAGTCAAAAATTTTTGTAAGTTTTTTATGCACAGACCTGCAAAATAAAAAAAAAATCCTATTTATTCACCTCTTAGTTTTCTATATATAAAAAAATCACTAAACTTATAGAAACGTAAAAGATATAATGACTTTTCAAAAGTAGAGAAATTTTAAGTTCTAAAATCTTTTTTTCGTTCAAATTTTCGATTCATTTTTATGTTACAGCTGTTATTTAAAATTTTAAAGTTCCTAGTGCTACGAATTTATTTCAATACAATAGAATCTATTCTGTTCTCTTATAGCTATTAATTATTATTACAACTCGTCATCTTTATTTTAAAAGCAATTCCGCTTATCGATTATCCATTTTTCCACATCAATTACAATTTATATCGAAAAAAACAGAAACGTTTGTTTACTATACGTTTACATATACGTTTTGGTTCGTAAAATATTCTAGCGATGTATCTGCGTAACAAAATATACACAGTTGCACGAGTAGTGCAGTATGTATTAACCCATGGATATAAACATCGGAAATACGGTACAATATTGCTGATATTATTCGATGAAACGTGACAATAAATTAGAGTTTCGATATTTTAAATGACGCTGGACAATTCAATAATGAATTTCGAGTACGATGGTGGGAGTATGGATTTTTCAGATATATGTCTAAATTATACGTAATTTTCTTAATTATATTTTACAAATTAAGTTAGGAATTCTATTTGTTTTGCATTTTATTTGTTTACTAATAATAATGTACATCACGTATATTTAATTTCTGTCTCGATTTTAGAGAGAGAGAGAGAGAGAGAGAGAGAGAGAGAGAGAAGGGAAGATGGATAAAAAGCATAAGAGAATAAATTATAAAATTCCGTCGGTTCGCTGCAATGATTTAATACTTACACTTTCTACGTATAACTTTAACCTGAAATCAACGTACTTTTCGGATACTTTTTGAATGATATATTACGGAGAATTGATATAATACGGTGACATCGGTAGCTGCGAGATGTATGTATTGTTTTCCATCTCGGGACGAAATCCTACGTATACATCGCGAATTGCCGGCTGTCGCGGCGCACCTAAACGGAAACACAGTCGCGAATTTAAATTCCGTCCTCGTAAAGATTCAATTACCGTGAGAATATCTTGCGCCATTCTGCCTGGAAACAAGCCAGCCGCAGTTGTATCACGTAGCGAGACTCTTTGCAATGGCAACGATGCAACTTTATTTTATCTCTCTTCCCGCGCATCTCGACAAACGAGTTTGCATGTGGCGATATTCTGGTAATGTTACGCGTGGTATCTCCTAGCGATATCTTCTTTTACGCGCTGTAATTACGAAGTATAAATATTAATTATAAAACTCTGCATAACATACAGGGTTTCCCAGAAGTTTTGGCCAATTGCTTTTGTGTAAATACAGCGGACTAAACTGAGTCGAAAAATCCTCTACCATGTTGCAATTTTCGCAATAGTTAACAAGATATTAATTATTAAAAATTGCCAAATATTGATCTTGAATAATTTTTTACTCAAATACTATCAACTTTTCAGAAAAAAACTGCAAGAGACAATAATCATTAATTTTCTTTTCATAAAGTTCGGAGAATTTTTTCAAAATTTTTTCAGAATTTTTCAATACCATTTTTTTCTCACGTTGGTAAAAAAAAAAGCAGTACTAAAAAATTGATAAAAAATTCTGAAAAAATTCTTAGAGTTCTATGAGAAAAAAATAAACAATTTTTGTCTATTGTAGGTTTTCTGTAAAATTGATAGTATTTGAATAAGAAATTATTCAAGACCAATATTTGGCAATTTTTAGTAATTAATATTTTGTTAATTATTGCGAAAATTGCAAAATGTGTGGTAGAGGACTTTTCGACTTAGTTTAGTCAGCTCTATTTGCACAAAAGCGATTGGCCAAAACTTATGGAATACTCTGTATATATACTGCAAAAAATAAAAAAACGTGAAAGGAAGGAATTTCTCGCAAATTTTTAGGATAATTTTTACGATATTCAGTATTGAGTTATTAGACGATGTCAAATATAAATATGTATGACTAAATTTTATAGTTTTAGCTGTTGAATTACATGTATTCTCCATATATCTACGTAATCAAGAAGCGTAAAATAGAATAAAAAGCGAAATATGCATTGAAAAAATATAGTAATAAATATTTATTTGAATGGAACATAAATATTTATTAAATATAAACTATATTTCGAAAATTAATTTTGATTTCATTTAACTATCATTTTTTTATTTAAAAAAAAATATATTTATTTACTGTAAATAAATGTTCAGTTAGTACTGTTGAAAAAAAAATACATATTAAAATTTAGTGAATTTTTGTTTCTGTAGAAAGGAGTATAGAGAAAGGTTCACCGATCACAGATATTTTTCAGTAGTACATCTCTGCCTTTATAGCGCCGGATATTAGAATCATCGACGAAGCCAAGCATGAGTTACGGGACCGATATTACAAGACCGGAAGCGGAATCGAGCTAGCATGCGTCGTTCGGCCGTCCTGCCCCGACTCGAGGGTGCCGTATCCCGTGTGGCGGAAAAATAGCGAGATGTTGCCGGATCACGTCAACGTTTATCACATTAATGGGTGAGCATATATCGTGAAGTAGCGATGGATCGTGGAGGAGCTCTCCCGAGGAGACGGATGTACGACCGCGTTCGTCTGGATTGCACGTGCGCGCACGTAGGTACGCGCATGTACAAATCGACATTGTCTACTCGCAAATACACATAGATCGTTCTCATCCTCTTGTAACGCCGACGGCATTACCTTCTAAACCCGAAGGGCGTACGCGTTGACGAGCGATAGTGCGCTTTGTGCGACGCAACCGCTCCGCGATTGATCTACCTCGAGATTCGCTACGACACGCATTGAAAATTTATCTCTCTTTCGTTAGACAGAACTGGAGCAATCTTCCTGTGAATTTTATCGTTCTCACAGCACGGTCGACAGACACGGTCGCGGAGCTCAAGTTCGGTTGAATTAGTATTCAAAGGCTATTTATGCTCGCATTACATGTATGGTAACGTGGCGTTTGGATTATCATGCAATTCTTTATTCAATGTCCGTAAGTCGGTTCCGCTAGACATCTCGTAGAATATTTATACATCTCCAGGTTTCAGACGCACATAAATATACATACGCATAGCTATGTAATGTAGCTGGTACCGCCCACAAAGAGATTACATATCTCAATACAGGTTTTAAATTTTTGTCGTTAAAATTCAGTAGACAAAAGCTAGGTACTATAGATGTTGTCGCGCGTGTGCGTATTGCGATATGTCGAGTAATATAACAACCGATATTTCAGGTCGAACGAGGATCTGGTGACGAGGCTCTACATCGAACGAGCGAAAAAGACTGACAGCGGGGAATATACGTGCTCAGTAAGCCAATTCAGCACGACCGCGGTGCATATTCACGTCCTAAATGGTAAATTAAATAGAAAGTCACCAAAACGAACGGAATTAAATATGTATAAATAGAATATATTTTCTCAAACATTCTTGTTGAAGTAAATTTACAATGTGATTTACTTTAACTTAAATAAACATTTTCTGAAAAAGACACTTAATGTAGGCTGGTCTAATTTCAAACATGGTGTAATTTTAAACAAAATAAGATCCAATTTCAACGTTTGAGTTTCATAACTTTGATCTCATTGCGTTAGAGGATACTAACAAGTATCACAAAATAAGAAAAAACAAAACATGAACTTTGAAAATTGGATTCGAATATTATTTTGTTTAAAAATGTATCAAGTTCAAAATTGTACCACATTACTCTACATGAGTAATTTATAATTTTCAAGATATGTTAAATGGCTACGCGAAAAGAACGATTTTATTAAAGTCTAAAAATTTAGCTAAATACAACTTTGAAAATAATTTTATTGGACTATAAAAATAATTATGTTAGACGTTCAATCCAATGTTTTTGCAGTATTACTCATTATACTCGTATTTAAGTTTCTTATGCAATTATTTTGATAGTCTAACAAAATTTTGAAATCTGTATTTAGCTACATTTTTAGCAAAATCGTCTTTTCTGTGTAGATAGTTCACTCTTTACACGCTCCTTGGGAACATTTACTTTAGAAAACTTAAAAAAAATATTTAAAATTTATTATACAGAAAACCTAAAAAATAAAAGTATATTTGAACACTTTAAATCTTTCATTAAAGTTATTTTAAAACTTACCTAAGCACAACTAAAAAAAAAATAACGCACCCATTATATTGTGTTAAAGTTATCCTTGAAAAATTTTAAAAATTTTAAGTTATTTAGGCTTTTATACACTTTAAATTACCTCAAAAGTTTTTAAGTCAACTCTTAATTATTTTTAAAAACTTTATTTTTATTAAAAGTAAATTTTTCCAAGAGATAAGAAAAAGAAATTAGAATATTAAATATAATCAATATAATTTCGACAAAATATTTTGTTAGATAATAATATCATAAATGTAACTCTGATATTATTGATATCTGATTGTCTATTTTGAATTGCAGGTGAAAAACAAGCTGCTGTCCACGATCAATGGAATGCAGCACGTACCAATTGTTATGCAGCTTTTACTGAGTTGTGCGTGTTTGCCAGTTTATTTCTTTATACATGGCAAAATTACTCTCTATGAAACTTGTCAATATTAAGTTTCCATCAATTTACAACAAGTTACCTTCAACACTTCTGTATAAATTACGTATTTTGATCTGAAACAAAATACGTACTTTTGATTAATTATATGCATCAGTATTGTTATAAATGCGAACCCGTTAAATAAATCTATGTCAGTATTATAAGACTATAAATATATGAAAAATAGATATTGATATTAAAATAAATATTGTATTTCTACATGTCAGAGTCTTATTATTTTCTCTTTTGAAAAATTTAATTGAGACCGATTCCTTTCTAAAGTTTTAGGAAATTTTTTATATTTTTAATATAGAAACTCGTTTTAATTATACATATCAATTTATGTCTTCGGCATTTTTTTATTAAATAATCTTTTATATCATAGGAAAAATCTATCCACAGAAGATCAATTAAAAGCAAAGCTTTTACCGACCGATGTAAATAAAGCTTACGAAAGCTTCGCCAACCGATGATCATTTTTATGCCAGTAGTAGGAAACAACGATATCATGCTTTCAAAATATCTAGTTTATCAATTTTTGCAAAATATGATTGCTACTATTATCTATAAAAATATAAATATATTATGTAATACCTTATTAAGTAAAATTACAAAAAGCTTTATTAAATTGATTTCATTGTTTTCATTAGATCTATAACATTAAAAGCAAATAGTAAATGACAATTAAGATTATTATTTCTACTTTATTATTATTAATATAAATAAATTATTACTGCTTTAAATATTTCGCATCGTCGTACGATACTCGTTATATTGAAGGATGATGATAGAATAAAAGCTTTGTTGCGTCAAGATGAACTTTCAGGAACGAGTGGCTTGTTAAAAGTTAACATCACGTTAAAAGTTTCAACGATATCCATCATCATCAATATTATTAATAGGAAAATACGCCATAAAATCTGTCTATCGAGTTACACGTAGAATAGAATGCACTGTCCGTAAGAGTTGACTGCGTCAAAATTAGATACGCTTGCCTTTTGCGATGCTTTATTATAGGTACATCGTAACATTTTCGGTATACCATATTTCTTAGTGTCCGTTATTTGTAGCGCTTCTTCTACTACAAAATCTCAAACAAGTAAGTTATGGAAGTTCTTTATAGTTAGGCATAGACTCTGAACAGGTATCTTGTACAGAAGCTTAAATGTTTGCCGCCACAGACTCTCGCGAAATTTGCAGTGTTACCAAACAGTGATTTTCTTGGCCAATTACCATACGATTCAAATACGCGAGGTTGAGTATGCAAGCATTAATTACGGTTGCACACTGAGAGAAAAACTGTTTGGTACCTGTAATTATAATTATGATTGTGACTAAGTTGTGCGTGTATACTAGAACTATACATATAGTTATAATTAATATTATAGTATTAATAATAACTATATATTAATAATAACTATACATTAATAATATAACTATATATTAATAATAACTATACATATAGTTATTAATACTGTAGTATTAATAATAACTATATGTATAGTTCTATCAACTAATATACCTATATAATTGGTAACCAAAAATGACTAATAATTATATTAATATTTAATTATAGTTAAAAAATATTGTATCAAACAGTTTTTCTCTCAGTGCAGTAAGCTTATCATGCATTGTTAATTGTCTTTTCAATCAGCTGACACTTAAACAAAATTCCTTAACTAGAATAACTGATCCTATTAATGTGTTTTTTAGCCAACTTGTTTATTACTGAATTAATTATTAAATATTGTAGCTTTAATTTTATCTGCTTGCAATCAATATCGATTTTTCAACTATTTCTTTTTTTTTTATAATACTTGTTTAATCTAAAAAATGTTAATACTTTATTATGTTTTTGACAAAAATAAA